ACCCCTCCCAACGACCAAGGAGAGCACCGTGGCCAACAAGGACCAGCAGGAATCAACCACCGCAGAAGGACGATCCTTGTTCGACAGGATCCGCAAGTTCGGCTTCTAAGGTGGCCATTGTGTCTACCGGTGTGTAGCTAGCTAGCGTGAGTTCGAAGGCGTTCGAAGCCTCACTAATAACTAGCTATTTAGTAAATCAATTACAAAATCTTCCACCCTTTCATATCAATAGCAGCATCTGTTTCGTCGTAGGACGGCCATATGTCAACTTGAAGAAGCTCTAACAAGGAGCTAAGCTCTAGCTCTAGTCCTCTGCTGGGCAGCAAAGGATGTCACAACGGGCCTGGGACCAAGAAGACGACGGAGAGGAACACGAAGCATGAGTTTCAACTTTTGGGCTCGAACGGGTCGTCGCCCTCGATGGCGCTGGACTACAGCAATCGAGCGTACTAGAGTTTCATTGGCTGGATCGCTCTTGTTGCTTCCTGTGATCGTTTGGCGGGCTTTGGTTCATCCAACCGGGCTACCATGCGTCTATGTACCAACTACCTGCATCGTATCGTCGCTCTAAGCCATCGCCCATGCGCACAAAACCAGGCGTGCACACTACGAGTGCCTGTTTGCCAAGTTTCTGGCTGCCGTGGCGTCGTGGATTGTTGTAGCTACATGTAGCAAGAAACATTCTTGTACGGTGTGGCTGAATGAGAAGCAAGCGGAGCCATAACTCTGCTCTGTGCTGGTTACTCCACTGCTAGCTAGCTAGCTAGCTAATGCACATCCCAACCAAATCTCTGTGACCTCCATGAATAGCCACAAGAGAGTGAGAGTGAGTTCACACAGCACCGGTCCAACTACACTACTTTGCTTGTGTCCCGAACTGTACGGTGGTTTCTAGCTTGCTATTATTAATAGCACCATGCCAACAATACAAGAATTGGATGCCGTGGTGTCTGATTTGATTCAATACAAGAGAAATGGGATGAGGCATGAGGCATGAGGACAAAGGAAAAGCAGACCCAACCATGCCAAGGCGAACCTCGTTTTGTCTTCGTGGCTTCCTTCGTGTGGCAAATTGTGAGCGTTTGGAAGTGAGTGTCAATCTATTCACCAATTCGCTTTCTGTTCGGATCCCCTTCTTTCTTGTTGGAGATTTACACGTCCTGTAAATACTCCGAAACTCCGAATGGACGAAAAAGACACTGTGTCTTTTGCGGTGTTGTGGTTTTCACAGGGAAGCTGTGAATCGCACTGTCTAAACATCATCTGGTGATGTAATCTCAGTCCGTCTTGGACAGGATACTTAGACCGTGTCGCAACCGCGCCCAATGCCTTGCCGGTGCGTTTCTGGGTTGTTTGCTGTCAGAAAAAGGGGACCCAGTGGTGAATTGACTGGTTGCAACCACCTCATCCCCCTTTTTGCGTAGCGCCAACGTTTGTCGGCATGTGTTGGCATGTGTGCAGAGCTGTGGATAGTTAGAAGACGATGTAAAGATCAGGTGGTACTGTTCTTGCCACTGTAGATACTGTAGATAGAAGGTTGCTTGCTTGGTGGTTTGGTTAGTATGGGTATGTGTGGACTGACTGACTGATGGGTTGAATCGGCCGCTAGCTAGCTAGCTTGCGGAGATTGCTTGTTAGCTCATTCTTCTCAAGAAGTCGAGTCCAGAGAGCCGCAACGAAAGTTTTGTAGAGTGTGTTTTGCCTGCATCCAGCAGTCAAGCGACGAATTCAACACCTCTTTGCCCTCTCTATCCCTATTGGAAGTCTGATACAGTGTAAGTGCCGTTCATGCGGATGGGATGGCTTTGAATTGGCTTAAGAGATGATGAATTGGTTAGATCTTGTGGGAAGGTGTCAACAGGAAGACCTGGTGTTGGATATCGTCCGACTTCTTCTACCTGATCTCACCGTTTCTTCTCTTCTTCTCCTCTCTTCTCTCTACCCTTCCTTGGCATGGCTCTCTTCTCTGTGTGTCTCCTTCTTCTGGACTGATTTGATCCTGATCTTCCTGATCTTGTTGTCTGGTGTCATGCCGTGTAAATACTGCACTCTGCTCGGTTGTGACACACACAGTTCTACTTTGCCCGAGCTTGCCTCTTTGATCAATCAATCAATCAATCAATCTATCAAGATGATGATGATGATGAAGATGTCAACATTCGCAAAGAAGAATCTTGCCCGAAGTCGTGCCAGCGCAACTACCCTTGGTTGTCTGTGTCTCCTCGTGGTCTGCAGCTTGGCGGCTGCCACCACTCCCGAGTTTGAGACACAACAGATGATCAACGGTAATAACGCGTTGCACGCTTCCGCATCCTCTGACGACGCAAACACCTTGGCGGGTGTAAGCGGTAGAGCAAGCACTGGTAGCAAAAAAACTGCCGAGGAAGGACAGAGTCTATGGAGCCAACAACCCCCAAAAGTGGCCCTTTTGGAAACCCGCTCCGAGACGTCTGAGTCTTCTCAAGCTTTTGCTGCGCCTGCGCCTGCATCTACTGCTGCCAGCGTCAGTGACAAGATCAACAATAGCAACAACAACAACTCCCACAACAATGTTATCGCCGATACTGATAACAACAACAA